GGGGGCTGAGCGGGGACCCGCGCGGGCCCCGCTCCCCAGGCCGCTCCGCCTGTCGCCCGCCCGCCGCCCCTGGCGGACGCCTCCGGGCCTCTCCATCCTGACGTCCCTCTGTCCCGCGCCTGCAGCAACAGGTACTTCGAGGCTGTGGCTTTGAACCTCAGGCTGCTGTTGAGAAGCGGCCGGTGCCGCCGTCCCAACCCCGCACACTGTCCTGTTCAAAACAGAGGTGACCCGATATTTAGAGCGGGTTAGGTACTAATGCAGCACCTTTTCCGGCTTATTCTTGAGAACAACTGAAAGTTTTGAAAGGGAAAAGTATTTTTAACCGAAATATCTCCACCTGCAGGAATAGCAAGTTTCTTTCCAAGTGCCATGTCCTGTGCTACTAAATCAGAAACACGGCCTGGACGGGGCCTCTGCCTTCTCGCAGTCTAGTAACCTCCGTTTCCAAACAAAGCAATGCCCGCAGCTTAGTATTTCGCCTGGAGAAAGTAAGTTCTCCAAAGGGCTTTCTAGTTTGCAAAGCGCTTTCAAGTCCCTGTGAATCGTTCGTTCATTCCTCAGAGCACCAGTCATTAATTCACTAATTCACAGAACAATCCTATGTGGGGTGCATTATTCTTTAAATTCATATTTTACAGATGAAGAAGCATCGTCCCGCCTTACAGATCAGAATTAAGTTTAAAGTGCTTGAGTGATTTGCCAAAGGCCATAGAGCCTCTGAGTGGTTGAGCTGTGATTTGGCTTGATTTCAGGTAGTCTGAGAGCTGATATTTTAGCCACTATTCTATGTAATCCTTCAATAAAGGAAGGGAGGGAGGAAGTTCCCTAGTTATGTCTGTTTCATAATGTTAACAAGAACATTATATCCTAATGGGGCAATGTTTGTAATTTTTTTCAGCCATGCTTTTAATATATGCAAAATTAAGTATTTCAGTACCCAAAAGTATGGGTCATTGGGCTTAACATTGTCAGCCAATAAACCAATATTCTAAATGCTCGAACTGCTTATATCAATATAACAGTACAGAGCAATTCCTTATATTAATGTGTTAGGGTTAGTAGGAAGCAGATGCCAAAATGGAATTTGTGCAGGAGACTTACTGGGGGAGGGAGCTATAGAAGGCAGGGAGAACCTTCAGATTGTCATGCTAGGTTGACACCTGTGGAAGGAGAGAGGGTGCCCCATCTTCCCCAGACAGAGGTCCCACACTGCACCACTGATGAGGAGGTTTAAATGGAATTCATTGGAGCAGGAGGGCACATTACAGAATCCACTATATGCCCTTAAGAAACCCATAGCCTCTACTGTGAACTGTGAGAAAGACGTTTATCTTTAAAAATGTGGTAAGTGCAGTGATAGACCTCTACAAAGATATTAAGAAACACAGAGGGGAGACTAATCTGGGCCGAGAAGTGAGTGTGTGTGTGTGTGTGTGTGTGTGTGTGTGTGTGTGTGTGTGTGATGAGGCAGGAGACTGTTTCAGAAATTCTTCATGGGGGAGGTGACAACTGAGCTAAGTTTTAGATAAGAGTAGGGCCTAGAAGAGGGCAGAGTCAGCAAAAGGCTCAGCTCTAGCCTCAGTCCTCTAACACTTTGCTGATAAGTGGCAAGGACTCTGTGACATTTCTTACATTGTTGTCCAGTATTTTAAAATCGTCACCACTTAACTTTTTATGCTTTTATTTCTTGACCTCTTAACTCCACTGGGCAGTGCTCAAGGCCAGCAGCATGTCTTGTTTTTTTTTTCTCACAGTGCATAGAGCACAGTGCCCATCTAGCTGCAGGCCAAGAGGGTGAGGTTGGAGAAATTTACTCCCTTCAATTCTCTTTATCTGTAAAAATAAAATACACACCAACACACACACACACACACACACACATATTGGAGTTCCACATCATGTCTTTTTTCACTACAATTCAACTTTGAAACCCAGTGATGCAGAGGAAAGGGCTTGGGGATATAGTGTGTTTAGTTCTTCCCATTAGTTTGTAAGTTTCTTGAGGACAGTAATGTGTCTGTTCTGTTCCCTGGGACACACATAGTGCCTGCTACATGGTAGACACTCAATAAATATTTGAATTAGTATGAAATGCAGAATGAATGTTGATAACTGAGAGCAGAATGGTAACTCTGTGGCCTGAACATAGACTTGAGCACATTGGGAGGAGGGTGCATCCTTGTTGACTGGTGTTGCTGCAATAGTAGGGACCCTTGTGGCCAAGGGGAACAGTGTCAGCACAGAGAACGGGAAGCTAGGGAGCACGGGGGACACAGGAGCTAGAGGAGGAGGACTCTTAGAGAACAAGAAGGGAGGAATTCTTGGTATGGATTAAATCTGGACATTGTTGCCTGGTTGCTGACTTTGAGACCCTCTTTCTGAATTGTACCTCTGGACTGATGTGCCAAAGGGTTAAATATATTAATTTGTCATCTCCTAATAACTGGAAAACTTGGGCCTAGTTTGACTACTAGAAAGGGAGAATTATGAAGGTGGCATTGGTTGAAAACAGACAAGAAAGTTAATATTAATTTTGCTTCGCAGGGCCTCTTTGACAATATTTAAGTAATTACAGAGGCAGAACTTCCATTTGAAGGAGGTTCACCGTGCATTAGCTCTTGCCTACATGAACATTAGGCCTTCGGGAAGCACACAGTGAGTCTATTTTACTTGTGACAGTATATCCCAAAGAGAAATAAAAAGCATTCCCAAACTCAGTAGCTGTTCATACTATAAATAAGGTAAAAACTCAACAGTAGGTGGCAGTCTATCAGCAGAAATTGCTTTCTCTTTTAATGACTCA